ATCTAATAATCACACACTAACAATAACAGTCTGTAAAAAAACTTAGCTACATGCTGGTTAAAATTACAAATTAAAATAATGGAAAATTACACCGCTAAAGATTAATACACGACTTAGGGTTATTAAAAAAAAATAATCAAAAAGTTTATTAAAACCATTAATTAGCAAAGTTATCTCATTTCCAAGTACAGGCAGGAGACCATGGATGGTGCAGTGGGATCTGGGGCTGACTCATTCTGTCTCGCTAGATTAGAACCTGCTGCTTTTCTTTGGAGGGCTGAAACCTGAGTGCCATGTGACTGTGCGAGTCAGATTCCCAGGAGTGAGGGGAGCCACGGAAGCAGCATCACAGGGAAAATAGGGAGAAGAGCAGGGTGTTAAAATAAACTAGGCAACACACTGGCATCCAACCCCAGGGGGCCCCATGCAAAAGGATTTGAAATAGCAAAATGAAGGAAGTATTTACATCTGAACTGGAAAGCAAAGGAGCTTCCATGCAACAGCAAGTTAAACCTGCATCAGTCCCCAGGGTCCAAGTGTTTGCAGTTTCAAGCTTATGTTTTGGAATTCTTAGGAATAAATTATAAAATCCCACAGGCTGGAGGAAGAAGGATCAACCTTCACACTCCCCACCCACTAATCCAGGGGCTGTGTTGTTTCCAAAGGGAAGAAAGTGAGTGCCTGGATTTTTTCCAAATCAATGTTGCATTTGGAAAATGAAGGAAGCAAACAAATTTGGGTTTAACCAACAAAAAACACATTATGGAACTTAATAAAACAAATTAAAACCATAGTAAACCATATAATAAAACATATTATAAAACATTATAAAAACATGCTCTAAAAACATAACCAACACAAACCCTCTTACATTCATTATTCAAAACACAATTACATAAATTAAATAGAAAAAAAGAAAACAAATGTTAAAAAAATAGGGCAGGTGACATCTGGAATGTGGCACATGACTGTAAGTTTATGAGAAAAGCAGATAGTAAAGCTCATTAATTTCCCTATTCCATCTTCAAGTCCTATTAGCCCCAAAATTCTTCTTTAAGTCTTGGCAAAAGACTCTTCCTTGTCCTGCAGGTGATGGCTTCTTGCAGAAATGTTCCTTCCTCACATTGTGGCAGTCATCCTGGAATTGAGGAAACAACCCAGGCATTTTAATTCCTTTTTTTCTAATTCAATTGGTCAGTTCTACTTTTCTGAGTTTCTATCTGGTTTGGGTATGACCTTTTTAAATTTCATGATTTTATAAAGGCAAAAAGACCTAATATAGCAACACCTGAACTCTTACATTTACTAAACTCTTACATTTACTTGCTAATAAACTAAGTAGAAAAGCAATCTCATGAGTTTCCCTATCAAACTCTTTCTACCCCCAGTAAACCCCCAGAATTAAGCTTTAATCTTGGGAAGAGACCCTTCCTCCTCCCACAGGTGATGGCTTCTCATGCATATGTTCCTTCCTCTTGTTGTGTCAAACACCCTGGAAGGTGGAAAAAACAAACCTTCCTTCTTAATTCCCTTAGTGCCATAAATGCTGTTAAACCCAGAAGCCTTATTTTGACCTATGTGAAATGTTGCCCGCTGTGGGTTTGCCAAGGTTTTCTTCTGAAAGTTAAGTTTTCAGTAAGATGTTTGGGGCTGTGAGAGGTGATACTCCAACTGCCCTCAGCATCACTGAGGTGGCTTTGGAAGTTTAACTCTATTTCAAGTCAAAAGCAGCAAGTTTCTAGCAGAAAGAGCAACAACTTTCATATGTCTCAAACATCATGCAGCGAAATGAGGGGCATTTTTTGACCTCTCTGCCTCTCTGTTTTCCTTCCTGCATCACAGCTCCTCTTTAGGCTACCACAACCTGGAAATCAAAGTCTTTAATTATTTTCCCTTCTGTTCAGAAAGGGGGAGAACTAAAAGAAGAAAATAAGCTTGAAAACTCTCAACAGCCCAAGCAATTACAACATCCAGCACAAACATGGATCAGCCCATGCCAGCTTTCCAAACAGTTGAGAAAGAACTTGGATATGGTCACAAGGATGGGCTGTGAACACCGAGCTTGGAAGAAAAACACTCTAATTTATACTGCACTAAATGGTCAGATAAATAGATAAATGTCTAGATATACAGTTGTATATAGTGTATACCTACTCACCTCCTGCAGCTCTGGCACTGAGTTCCTGGGCTCAGCCCCCACAGCTGTGCTCACTGCTTCTATCTGGGACTGCCCTGAGAGCAAGGCACAGCCTGCAGCTGACACCTGGGTGGCAGCAGGATCCCACTGGAGCTCGCTCTGGACAACTGTGTTAGTTGTGATGGGAGATGCAGAGCTTAGAGAGGCCGTAGCTTCTGTGGCTTTCTCCCCATCAGGTACTGCTGCTCCCTGGTCAAGCTGGCAGACCTTCAGTGCCCTTCCTGCAGGCACTTCTGTGTGATCTGATGTGCCACAGACTGTTTTCCTGCCCTGGATGCTGGTGCTCCCCAGGAACTTCTTTTGAGGCCACAGGGATGGGCACTTTGCCATCATTGCTCCTGAAACACCCAAGTCCCATCAGCCACTGTCGTGCCAACTGCAGGCTCCTGGCAGCTCTGTTTCCCCTGGGGATCCCCTGTTCAGGAAACCAGAGCTGCTCACTCCAGCAGCCATCTGAAAAATCAGGCCTGTTGTGCTTTCAAGGAAATCCAGGACAGTTAATTAATTTTTAGCTGCAAGTCTCCAAGGACAGCAACCTTCTCAGCAGTGACACCATCACTCCCCTCTCTTTGGCGCTTCTCTAAGCCTGCACAGACTCCAGGTGGCCAATCCCACCAGACTGTGCAGTTCATGGCACGGCTACGATTCCCCTTGGGAGCAGCCCACTGCCAGTTTGGCTCTGATATGGATGAATGGTCTGGTCCTAGGAAGAGGCAAGCATCCAGGGCTGGTCTGCTGCTGCTTGCTGCTATGAACTCCTTCTTCCAGGCTGCGAATGCTGAGGCTGCTCTGTGCTCTGCCAGGGTTTTGCTGGGGCTGAGCACTGGCCACAGCTGGGCCCACTCTCACCTCATGTTTCTATTGACAGCTTTGCATCAGATGGGCCCTTTCTGAGAGCAGTGACTGATCCTGCTGCTTTTTCATTTGACTAAGACTCTCATCTTACAGAAAGAAAAAGAGATTTATATTAGTTGTACAAACGCAATGGTTGAGAGCTGAAACTCTCCAGAACTACAGCTGAAAGGCTGTATCTCCACATGATATTTTTTCTGTCCCACTCTACATTTGTGTCTGGTTGGAAATGCAAATGTGCTTTCTTCCTCATCTAGGAGTACCATGACTGGGCAAAAACCATCCAGTGGGCTGTATACCAAAAGCAGTGCAGTCTGGAGTTTAGGAATGAAAGAGACCATTCTCCAATCCCAAGCCATACCAAAACCCCTTCATAAATGGGGCTTTGCGTCTTTAAGAAACAAGTCACAATTGAAAAGGGAATGTACAGCTTTTTCACAGGATGAGAAGGAAGGGTATCTTCTAACTGAATTGAGTTTAGTTTGATTTTTATTCTGAGGGCCACCCATCACTGGCACTGGATAAAGCAGTTCTGTCACTGTCGCATCTCCTGCCCTCCCTCTCCTGTCTTGCTGCAATGATCAGAGGTGTGAGGCTGGAGAGAGGCTTGCCTGAGAGTAAAAATGGATACTGACCAAAGGAAAACAAATGAACCATGACTTTCCAAGCTCATTTTCTAATGGGCTCAAGAACTATTCTTTGAGATACCACAAAGATGCAGAAATAGGTCTGAAGGAACTATCTGCACTTCTGTCTTCATGTACGTCCCTACCACACGTCCAGTACCTGGAATAGTTGGCTCATAATTCTATTAATCCATTTATCAAGGTGTCTCTAGCTTGATGCAATATTTGCCCTGCCAAGACTCTGGGAATGCTGCTTGCAGTCCAGGAATTTTCACTTTCAGGAAACACAAAATATTGACTTAGGGCTCTCTTTCTTGTAGGCATGGGCTATGTTAGTTGTCAAAAAAGATGAGTAGCATAAGCTATTCTTCAAGAAACTCGAAGACAGCTAAGAAATGTTTATCCCAGGAGGATCTGGGCCCATGTTTTCATCTGAAGACCACTGAGGTTTTCAGCACCAAGAGCAGGAAGACAAGTGGTGGAGCACTGATGGACTGAGCTCTGGCTTGCAGGGAGAGCAGTGTCTACCTTTGGATCCCCTGCACCTCCTGTGCTGGCTGGCACCTTCACAGCAGAGACAGCCAAGTGGCACACACTTTGCAACTCCCAATCTGTCACAAAACCTGGCAGCAATCCTGCAGCAGTTCTCATCTACTCAACTGTGCTAGGCAGCAAAAAAGGGCTGTGACAAGTCCTGCTCAGCTGTCCCTGTTTTGGTATCAGAAACATCTGAGTGGGGTAGGAGGGACAAGCTGAGGCCCTCCCGATGCTCAAAGGGAGATCCCCAACAATCCCTTCTTTCCCACAGCCAAGTCTTGGACTGCTTGGCTGGGATGGCTTCATTGGGATTCTTCACCCAGGCACTATTTCATGCCTCCATACCTGCATGCTCTTGCCACCAAATCTGAACCAAAACACAGAACAGGGCCACAAAACTGATCAAAGGATGCAACCCTTCTCCTGTGAGGAAAGGCTGAAACACTTGAGGTTGTACAGCCTAGAGAAGGCCCTGGGGAGGCCTTACTGGCTTCAGGGATGTTCTAAGAAAGATGGGGATGCATTTTTTATCAGGACCTATGAAAAAGGGGAAATGCTTTCAAATCAAAGCAGGGTCCATTCAGATTAGGTCTGAGGAAGAAACTGTTTATGAGAAGAGTGGAGAAACACTGGAACAGGTTATCCAGAGAGGTCCTAGGCGCCCCATCCGTCAAAACATTCAAGGTCAGTTCAGACAGGGCTTTGAGCAACCTAATCTAGGTTCCAGATATCCCTGCTCATTGTAGGGAATTTAGACTATGTGACCTTTAAAGGTCTCTTCCAACCCAAAATATTCTATGCTTCTACTCAGTTTTCTCTTGAAAACCACCCAGACTGGGCATTAATATGAGGGGAAGTTCATCTGATGCCTTTAAGTTTAGCTGATGAGAAAATTGATCCATTGGACAGCTATTTCACTTGCAGCTGCCTCACATTGTACCTGCATAAGTTGCTCTGCAGACCATTGAGTGTCCTCATCTGTCTGCAAGCAGCAGTTCAGAAAGTCCTGCAGTTACTCAGCATTCTCCAGCTTTGGTATTCCTCTTAGCTATGAGATCCAGGACCTAGAGAAAGAGGAAGCACAAGACTCTACCTGTTTCTTTCATATTCCTTACTGCTCACATAGACCCCATTTTTAAATCTCCAGCCTCCAGTTTCTTCCCCAGCAATCTTGCATGATCTTTCTGCACCAACAAAAAGACCCCACAAAATAGCTGCCACAGCTAATCCAACATGCACATGATCTTGCCTTGACACCTGATTTCATGAGCGGACCAAGTTAGTGGGAATTACATCAGCCAAAAGCACATTTGGCTGCTCTGAGGATTGACTCTACAGGCTTTGCAGACTCTTTTAAAGAGTGAATTTGGTCTAACCACATTATTTCCAAGCATTGTTACATACAATTAATCTCTGCAGTACTCACTAGTCTCTAAAGCACAGCTTCCATAAAAAAAATGTTACCTAGATGCCAAAAAGGAAATCCATCAATTTATTCCTTGCTTAAAGGAACAGAAACTTTCGGAACCTCAATTCAACACAGACAGACTTAGTTACATCCACAAATATTTTATGATGAAAATGCAGCTGCAACTCTGTCTTTAATTAGACTCCAAAATCTCAATCAGCTTCACTTCCATGGTCAAAGAAAAACTTTTAATGGTCTAATCAGAAAAATAAATGTTAGTTTAGTACATTGGCCGGGAAACTCAAATTAGCAAATCTAATCCACTACATAACTCTAAGTAATATCCCTGTGGTAACTCTGCTAATTTTGATACTCAAGTGAATACATTAATGAATCTAAGCCCTGTGCTAAAACATACTTTTAGGAAATTATTTGGTAATGAATAATTAAGGCATTCCTAGAACCAGAGGCACTTCCTGATAGGTAAGTAACTGGCAGAGGTGCAAGACTGAAAAGAGCCTGAAGACAAGGTTGAAATGTTTTTCATAAAAATTCCCCAGTTCAAGAAATTTGCTGCTGAGCATTTCTTTTCATTCTGAAACACAGCTCAAAAAGAGTTCAAAAAGTGAATGAGAAATTTGAAGCATCACTGAAGGCCAAAATGGAGCATTTTTTAACTGGAACATGTCACTCCTCTTCTGAGGTTCTCCCATTGATGCAGCCAAAGCTACACTAGATGCTGATATGCTCCAAGGACAGCTTCTGGTAGATGGGCCTTGGTTGAACAAGTCCAAGCTGATGTGAATGGGATCTTGTCTCTTGGAAGACAGAGCATGGGACAGATTAGAGTGACCGTGGCATCTGCTAGTATTGAACCTTACCTTGAGAGGCATTTCCTTGGAGTAAGGTGGCTCTTCTTGCAGCATTTCTAACACCACGATGCCAAGGGACCAAATATCTACTTTGGTCCCATACACATCCTTATTCACATATTCCGGTGCCATCCAGTGAGTTGTCCCAACCATCGAACTCCACTTGTTTTGCTAAGAAGTCATCTGAGCACAGAGGCCAAAATTGGCTGAGGAGGAAACCCTTAGTGTTGCTAAAGCCAGCTTGAATTAAGAAACCAAGTTAAAGAATTTCCCACTCTGAGTCTGAGAATGTGGTGTTGAATCTATCTGAAAAAGCGGCCCTGCTCTGATTCCTCAGGGCCATAACTGAGGAAAATTGGAATTGGTCACTTACAGAAACCTCCACATTCCACTCAGTGGCTTTTATTCACTTGAAGTGTAAGACTGGAACTCCCACCCTCTGGAAGAGTCACACATAAACCAAAGCCACTCTAAACACCTTATTTCTCTTAAGACCTCTCTGCAGACAGCAGCTGCACTCTTAGCTTGCAGCAGTGGTCTGTGCACTCCCACAGGCACTGCTCTTGGGGAACTGGTGGTCAGTCTTAAGCAGCCCCACATTCCAGGAATTCTGTGCTTGACCAAGAATACCTACTCAGTTTGATAGATCCATCCATTCCAAGAAGAATGCTTTTATTCATTCATTGCATTGCATTCATTTAATTTCATTTCATTCATTGCATTCATTTTTACATCTCTATGAATCACGAGGTTGAAGTGAAGGGAATTTTGTGCTTGCAGCACTGACAGATAAAAAACAAACAGGAGGGTAAAAATTAATGACCTGATTTCATCAGCAAGAAAGAAAATGTCTCTAAAGGACCTCAGTTCTAGCTGAAAGATGAGTAGTGGTAGAACATGGTGTTGTCAAGAGGAAGAGTCTGCTGCTTCATCAGTAGTAGAGCAGTATCTTTCTAAGAGAAGACCTATTACCTCTTGAAAGAGAAATGGCAATATTTATTACAGACTGTCCCCTGCCAACACAGACAGAATGACTGCTGCTGCAGGGCATGGGCTCTCTCCACCCAGGTGACAAACAATCATTTGCTGTTAGCTTGAAATTCCGCTACCAGCGTGTTTGCTTTTACAGGCAGGGAATACAATACAGACAGGCTCCAGGCAAATGTTCAAAGAGGCAATGCTCAGAAAAGTAAATATTTTTTTTTTAAAAAGAGAGTGCCACAACAGTTGTACTGGTGGGCCCTCCACCCAAGACACTCTTACTTCTGCTTATCGTCAAAGCAACACAGAAACAAAGCTCTGAACATGAAATCACTCCTGTTCTTTCCACCTGCCTAGACAAACTGCCCTAACAATCAGAAGTACCAGTGTCATTGCTTACCTGTTGACAGATGGCTGCCATCTCTCCTTCAGTCATATGGACTTCTTTAATGACACTGCTTAAAGGTTCTCCATCCATGTATTCCATAACCGAAAGAAGGAAACAGAAAATATGTTCACCTTAAAAAGAAGAAAAACCTGAACAAACCCCAAACCAACAAAACCACAAACTTAGGGATTGTTGTTTTAGTCAGATAGGGCTGATCCAATGATGCATGCCAGAAAAGATTAATGCAAACAAAGTTCATTCTCCTCCCATATATTGTATACAAATAGATAAATAAAAGTAAAAAGCTCAGTTCTTCAGCAGTATCTGAAGAGGTTATTTTTAACCTTTGTCTTGCAAAAATAAATGAACATTCATTCAATAATACCAGAACTACTTACCTGTCTAAATAGATAACAATATTGGGGTGCTTATTGTTCCTTACAACTAGGAGTTCATTGGCAATTAATTCCTTTTGGAGGAGACTCACTTGCTTTACGGCCACCTAAACTGACATTGAAGACCATTAACCTGAGAAGTCTGCTGCATGAGATCAGAATGAGCATGGAGTGAGTGTTTCTGAGATGAGATCAGAATGAGCATGGAGTGAGTGTATCTGAGATGAGATCAGAATGAACATGGAGTGAGCACTTCTGGAGTAACAGAGCCCACCAGCTATGCCAAACTGCATTGTGATTACACATCAGAACTTAGTCACTGACATTACAGCCCATGTCTCTGTCAGCTCAGGTGCTAGCTAGGTAGGACACATGGCCAAGACACATTTTGCCTTGTCAGCTTGGTAAAACTGGTCTCTTAGGCTATCAAGCCTAGAGCTCTAACAACATCCTGCACCTAAATTCTTTTCCAATGGCCTTAGTTTATCACTACTATTACCATTCACACATGGTTTGCAAGCACGAAGTAGTTCTGTTCCTGTGAAAATATCACAAAATATCTGGGAATCCTTTAGGAATTCTATGGAGTTTGATCATTTTTTCAAATGCAACTGTTGCTCTTCTTGATGGCAAAACAAAGCAAATAGAGACAGACATAATGGATAAAATGCCATCTTAAAAGGATCATTAAGGTTATCCGTCAAAAACCAGAATCCTACCGCTTCCTAACTTGTTGAATTTTGATTTTGCAACTCTAGAGAACAGTCTTGAACAGTTTAGATTTGCAGCTGTTTCCTGGCTTTAAAAAGAAATAATCCACTCCATGGCATTTTATGGATATGCCCTGAGTCCCTGGTAGACTTCTATCTAATCACAGTTACAAAGCATGGTACTCTAAGGGGATTGGAAGCTACCAGGAAGAATCAGATGTATTTGCTGTCAGAGAGATAGGAGCTTTCAGAAATCTTAAGCTGTAGCCCCAAAGAGCTGTCCAAAATGGATTGAGCAGGGTGATGCTAGCCTATGATTTGTAGGAACAGGCTTTACAGGAAAGATCTCCTGGAAACTCAAAGCTCCAGCCACAGCTTACACCAGAGGGAAAGACACTCAACAGCTGTAAAATCTGGGATTATTAACACTTACCTCTCCTCCTGTAGCCTCCTCCGGCAGTATTGGTCGCTGTATAGACCATTCTGAAACCCCTGGAAACAAAACAGCAGCAAAGAAAGGAGAAGCCATTGAGTTCCTACAAGTGAATACCAGCCCAGACAGGAGGTCTCTGCTGCCTGGAGTGTTTAAAAAACACCTGGCATCACCTACTCTTCAGCCAAGAGCACCCCACCGGCCCTCTGCCATGCTGTGTGTCCAAAAGAATATTTCGGTTCAACATGAAGGTCTAGTACAAATCTCAGATGCCCACACTGGATTTATTTTAGTTCCAAACCTATGAGGGGCCTGGGGTGGGGCATGGAGCATGTCTACAAAATCTGGAAAGTAGTATCTTTCATTCTTTTTCCATGTTGCCTTGCTGAGTCCTCAAGAACTCTTATTGCTCCGTTCTCAGATCTCTTATTTGAATCTATCTAGGGCCCTATTATTTCAAGGAAAAAAAGAAAAAAAAAAAAAGAAAAAGATTTTTCATAAGAAAATAGTAAAGAGGTGCCAAGAATTAGAGGGACAGGAGATCTTCCAGGTCTTGCTCCTTGCTCAAGGCAAAACACTTACTGTATGAAGTTCTTAGATGACACTTTCTGATCACTGTTATAAATTCTGATCAGTACTCAGAGACAGAAGGATCTAAACCCCTGTCCTATCTGGACACATTTGGAGCTTGCTTCACACTTGATCTTACACCAGCAAAATACCTGGCCTGTGGTTCTGGAGAAGGAACTGTGGTTGGACTTAACCTTTGGCAATTTTTTCCAGTCCAATGTATTTTGTCACAGGATCCCCCACACTCACAATCCTTCCTGAAAGGGACAAAATGAAATATCACACGAAAATGGAGATACCACCATCCAGCAGATCAGAAATGCAGCCTCACTCTCTGGGGATGTGAGCTGTAGTCATTTGGGTAACAACAACAGCAACAACAAGAAGACAGGTAACTCCATAGCAGAGATGGCCTGCACAATGGTTGGTTTTCCACAGTCCTTTGAAGAGTTACTTTGACAGGAAACCAGGAAAAGGAAGGAACATCCAAAGGAGACAGAGGGAAAGAACAGGTACCAAGGCAACTGTTCATTGTCTATGAACATTAACACAGCTCTATCAGACCAGAACTGCAGAAGACCTACTTAGTTTCCCTAGACTCTCCTCCTCTATCCTGTTGTGCTGCTGGCAGGTGTTGCAACACATACTGTTGGTGCTGGAGTTCTCAGGTGTGGGAATGCCTGTTTCAGAGGACATTGGTAAAGTGTCAGCTACTATTCCAGAGGATGCATAGATCGGTGACAAGAAATCAGTTTGTGTCAGAAAGGTGGCTGGCAGAGATACTTCTGGTTAGTATTTCAGGCTTTAAGAAGTGTCCATTAGGAACCATGTTCCAGCCCTCCAGAGGCCAACCTTTTCTTGACATGGCAGGACTGCACAGGACTCTCCCCATCAAATTTTGGTCATGTAAAAGTTACAGGTGCAGTCTAAGCTATTAATTTAGCAACTTAGTCCACGGAGAGGGGCAGGAACCTCCACAGGACAGTTTCTGTGCTGTCTGCCTTTGGACTGCTGGCTCCGCTGATGACAGGGAGCCTGCTCAGATACAAAGTAGTTCATTTTTACACCAGCAGCATTTAAAGACACAGCACTACCTCTTATCCAGTGCTATGATAAAGTCATGGTCCCTATCAGAATGCCAGGAAAATTATGACTAAACTTGAAAGTTCAGAGCTGATTTTCTAGGTGTCAGTGGCTGAGAGTGGGGGGAGTACTTTGTCACAGTAGGACTCCAGCCCTCCGAATTTTCAGCCATGAATGATCAGTGCTGCCTGATCAGAAACAGACAGCTCTGAATTACATCAAACACAATGTTGACCAAAGCTGGCCCTTACTGATTCTGGATGCTCAGGTTCTGGTCCAAAAACAGGTGGAGCTTGGTTGTCTTCCTCCTCCTCATAATCTTCTTTAGAAACAGAGGGAGCCTAAGCAGCTTCTGATTCTGGAGTTGTGCTCTGTGGACAGACAGCATTACAAATTATTTGCAATCTTATTAATATGCATCAATCTATCCAGCTATACTAAGGAGAAATCATAAACTTCAATAGAAATGGGATTCTGAGTTGCTAAAACTAAATTAGAGTGGGCTAATTAGACAGCACTGCATGTTGTTGTGAACCATATATTCCACCATAGCTACAAACAAACAGCAATCAACTTTCTGTCTGCAAAACCAGACTTTCATCTACTTAAAATCTCTTCAGGAGAAAATTAAAATACAGCCAGGGATTTTTTGCTGATGCAAAGACACTGAAATGGACTTTCTTTCAGGCTACAAGGCTGGCTTCTATGGCAGCAAGCGAAGTTCATGGCTTGCTCCATGATTGTGAAATGCTTGAAATGTCAGAGGTTACTGTGCCTCTCACTTATGGGCTTTTCTGTATCTGCATGTGACTTCACCTGTAACGGGCAAGGGAAAATAAAACAGATGTTGTTAGAAAACTGCCTCTTGTGGGGAATCCCACATAATAAGTCAACCCAAATAAAGAGCATTTTTCTTCCAGGATGTCCCTCCAGAAGCAACAATTCTTTTACATAGTAAGCAAGAAAACAGCACAATATACTAGGCTATTCTTTTTCTCCAACCATTGTAAAGTCAGACCATTAAATCCTTTAATCACAGAATTTAGAAAATAAGTTGCTTTCCCTCATTTCTGAAGATAACTGCAGTCTTTAGACAGACTTCTCAGAAGCTCTGCCAGCCTGCACTTTGGAACTTGTCTTTGTTTAACCAGCAGCTGAGGAAATTACAGACCCACTACCACAGGCCAACCTGTGCAGGGAAAAGAACCTGCAGGTTCAATTACAAAATCTGCCCACACCCCATGAGAGAGCTACAGACATCCCCTTTTTGGCTGAAGCTGTTGACATGAGCTTTACTGAAGTACTAGTTTTTCAATGGCATTTTCACTTCAAAATCAACTCAGTTACTAAGGGATAGCATGAACAACACATTGATACAAAAGCCAGATCAGATGCACCTAGGAAAAAACCTCTACTTACTTGCTAGCTGAATCATCAGCCAGACTTTGTCTGGGCAAGAATAGAAAGAATAGGCAAGTGGAAAAAAATTACGAACTGCAGCAAAAATTTGCTTGAATATTTTAGTGATGCTGAGCAGCAGTTTCACAGACTGTGCACTGAAAAGGAAAAATATGGGACCTGCAGTTCCAAGGGGCAAGCTGTCAGCTGAGAACCCTTGGATCAGGAGAATCCTCTTGCAATGAGCATTTCAAAGAGGTGCTCTGCAAAGTCAGGCTTTCCATGCCTGCAACATTCAACAGCAACATTCTGTTGGCAGCAGCATGGCATGGCAACTTTCTGCTGACATCACAGCAGCAGCTGTTCTTGATTGGTTTGAAAATTTATGCATGGCAACTGAATCTTCTGGAAAGGTAATGAAAAAAAAATATTCTGAAAGGATCCAGGAGTACAGCACACCAAAGTATGCCTTGTACTCCAATCTGAACAGAGAAGAAACAAGGACATGAAGGAACAAACTAAAAATAACATTAGGTCACTAACCCTTCCAATTAAGAATAGGAATGCTTCTCTTATCTTCATTAGTTCTGAAAACAAGCCACAAAGAAAAGTCACCATTTCAGTGACATTTAGGGGCCAGAAGGAGAAATAGAATTAATTTCAGGAGTATTCCATAAGGTGGAATAGTTTCAGGTTCCTTCTTGTCCACTTAGACATTGAACTTTGCTCTGACTGACTATGGAGCCAGGCCTCTCTTTTTTGCAGCAAGATGTACCCCCTGACATAAAGCCCCCAAATTTCTGATTGCTAACTCCTTCTTTGGAATCTTAACAATTGAGAACATCCAGAACTGCCAGATTCTGCTCCAGTTTTGTTCTATTGGAGCTCTGTAGCAGTCAGGCCCACTGCCCCTGGAACACCCTGCAAATGTCAAGCCCATAGAAGGCAAGTTTAGAATAGTTAAAAGCTGCAGCCTTGCAGATCATTACCAAGATCCCATGCTACCTTCTAAGATGACTTGTAGACATTTTAGTCATCTGCTTCATGCCCAGACTGGCTGGAGAGACATGGGTGTTCCCATGGCAAGCAATGGCCCTGCAAGAAGCAGGAACAGCAGGTAAAGGGAAATGGAATCCTCCCTTTGGTGATTCCTACTTAAGGGGCATTGGAGCTCAAAGAATAAGGATTCTTTCAAACCTGCCTATGGTATACAGAAATAAAAGCTGTGGAATCACTTGTTCTTTATCCTGAAAATTCAGTGCAGTAAAAGAGCAGGGTCCAGAATCCCAGTGCTGTTGAAGCCCTTTGAGTGGATATTCCCAGTGGATGTTCTTGATTAATTGTACCATTGTGAATCATTGTGCTCTCTCTTTGGAATGACTGTGCTCTTTGGAATAACTGTACTATTTTGAAGGTGATTGTGATTTCAAGTCATGTGTCTTACTCTGCAGCTGTGAAATGTGAATGGAAAATGTCTGTTGAACAGAAAGTGAGCTCAGTTTTATAAAAATAAGGATCAGGAATTACTGCACTAAGGATTCCTGCTCTGGGCTCTCCCTGAATTTCACTGTGTGCGAAGAAAGTCATCATAGTAGCTCTGACTATAATCATTATCTTATATAGTGAAGAACCACTTCCAAACTGCTTTAAGAATCATTTGCAAAGGAGTTTGAGGACCTCAGACAGCCTAAACTTACTGATATCTCTCATCCCTTATTTTATGTAATGATAAATGCTCTCTAATCACTTAATATCTTTTTAATATTGTGGTGCCCAAAACTGCCCCCAGGACTCCAGGTGAGGCTGCCCCAGTGCAGAGCATAGCAGAGTGGGACAATCCCCACCCTTGCCCAACTGGTGATGCTGTGCCCTCACATTCAAATTGCCATCAACCAGGACCCCCCAGGTCCCTTTCCACAATGCTTCTCTCCAGCCTATCGTTCCCGATTTGTCCATATATCCAGGGTCGTCCCATACCAGATGCAGAATCTAGAACTTGTCTTTGTTAAACTTCATACATTTTGGCTTTAAATGTTTTCTTTTTAAACTTCATTGTTTTGTTTTGATTTGCTTTGTTTTGGTGAGGGGAGAGTTTTGTTCTCTTTTTCATTTGTTTTTTCACAGGAAGGAGGACTGGGTCTTCCAGGTTGCTTAGCCTTTCAAGACTGTCATGTGAAATAGTAACAACTATTAACTACAACATTTCCAACACTTGGGTCTTGACTACCTTTCAGTTCTGTTGTTTACATTCTGCTTTCCCAAACAATCCCTACAGATTTACTCAGGACTGCCAGACAGCACCAATACAGATTATTGGACAGTACCCATGACTGCAGTTCAGTGCCATGTAGAGCAAACCCTGCATGCCATTTGTAAACCACCTGGGGATCCTTTGAGTTGAAAAGCAGGGTGTGAATTGAAAATATTTATTTTTTATTATTATTGCTCTAAACAGACTGGACACATATTCATTATAACATTCACTCTGTCAGCACCTAGAGCAGCAGTTATTTTAATATTGTCCCTTTACTTTTTTGTCAGGAAGACTGTTTTTATCAAAGACTGCATCAAATTACACCAAATACCCACCCAGTCTGCCAATCTCCAACATAGATGTTATAGGAAGTTGTGAAAAAAAAAAAGCACCTATAAGAAACAGATGTGCTCTTGTTGTTTCAGTTCCTAACACAATTAAATTTTACAGGAGCAGCAATGAATTTAGACTTCAGGCACCTGTATGCTTTTGTATAACCTGTCAATGAACAAAACTAGAATCTTGAATTCTTATCTTTTCAGAACTCTCTCAGGTGCTCTAAATCAGCTGACAAACTGACTTGGAATATTAAAAACAAAAATACAGCCCTACTGTGTCAGATCAAAGGTTCACTGAACTCTGTGTTCTATATCAAGCTCTGTATTATATCTCCATCACTGCCCAAAACCAGATGCTAATAAAATGCTAGAAGCTAAAAATGATCAAGGAGAAGGTAGGCTATGGTGATATTAGAGGTCTGGTTAGTCAGGGTATTAAACAGGCTAGTGTTTGTTTACACTGTGATAGCAGATTTTGGTTTGAGAGCTGCCATTAAGATTCCAAACCCTGCTGCAGCCCACTAAACAGAGATGCAAGTGGAGACTCAGCTTGATGCTAGACCTAATTATCAACAAAGCAATGGCATCAAGGATCAAAAGAGATCAAACCCTCATAGAGTGGAACTGGAGCTCATAGCCATTTCTTTTAAGGTTTAGCTGAATGTAACCTGAGGCTTGGCTGGGTCCTTGGGTCAAGTTTACTCAGAAAAATTTCCTGCCAATGAAGCAAACTAAAACAAGCAAGATAAGCAAATGAAAGCCCCAACAAGACCCAAAGGAAGAAGCTGTGGAGTCAGAAACAGTCATGTAATATTCCTGAGTAACGACAACCAAAAAAGAACCAAATTCCTCAGAGAAATGCAGAGGGTCAGAAGACAGACATCTGGTAAGATCAAGGATTGACCCACTCTGAGAGAGAGAGATGGTGGGCAGTAACTCATACCTGCACTGGGCTGCTGAGCACATTCTCAGCCCCAGAAGCAAGTTACTCCCAGCCATCCACTCTGTGCCGTAGTCAACAGGAAGGATCATTGTCTTAAACACGGCCATAAACTGTGTACACTCCTGCTTTCCAGTGACTACACGTGGTTAAGGATACACATTAAAAGTGCCTGAAGAGCTGAGGTTTTTAAACACAAAGCATTCTGCTTTCACACCTTTTCTATCTTGCAAAACATACAGAGAGCTCATTCCTGTTTATCTTACAAAACCCAACTAACAGCCTCATTAAGTTCCTTGCTGATTCCAAGTAATGTTTCTGCTGCAATGACTCCAGTTAGCACCATTCAGCAGATTTGAAACAGGGCACAAATAGCTTGACTTTTATTGCAAAAAAGCACTGTTCTCAAACAAGAAAACGATACTTCTTTTTCTTTCTTTTTTTTTTGGGGGGGGGGGAACGAGNGGGGTGTGTGTGGGAGTGTGAGGGGGCAGGGAATGTGACCATTTCATTGCTGCAGGCAATGAAAAGTTGAAATATGTGAGACCCCCAACAGTGCCATTACTTGGACTCGCTTCCAGGACAGGTTGCAGCCTTGGATACACTTCAGTCCAAACACTTTACATGGTCAAAGCCGGATTTATGCCCTAGTTCCTTGTACAGCCTTCTCTGCATTGAAGCGATATCCCAGCTACAAGCCCTGTAAACGAGGCTGTCGGACTACCAAAGCCTCACCACCTCAGCATAAGCCAGCGTACGGAATTCCTCATCATTCGCCTGTAAATGACTAAAAACTCCCAGTTTGCCGGATGCTCCCGGTCCACCTCCTCCCCTCGAGGCTTCAGGACCGCGGACAGCGGCGGCCGGCACGGGGGTCCCGGCCGGGTACTGGTGCCGCCCGCCCCAGGACCGAGCTGGTAGAGCTGGTTAGGAAACTGCAGCCTGATATCCCACTTCTCCTTTGTGTCTGGAAAGAATCCCCTCATTTCCCAAGCAGTTCTGTTCCTTACAATGAGATCCAAAAGTATTGCAAAGCTGACTTAAAAACCTGTGAACGGGAATTTACCTCTGTAATTGTTCAATTTTTTATTGTTGTCTTCGTGTCGACCTGACTTTTCTTCTTGATTTTCGTGCAGGGAAGTTAGTTTCAGCACAAAGTAGCGAGTTGGGTTAAAAATGCCAGATTCTGCAGTGATGCTGCTTGATCAGGAAGGACCTTCCATGAGCATGAGAAGAAGGGACTGGAAAGAAAAAGTAGTAGCCTTTCTTACAGAACAACCTTGTCTCCTCATTTTCATCAGTTTCCATGTGTAGAAAGTTCTACTTAAATATTCATTTGCAAAAAGAGGATACTTAAAATTAATGGAGTAAAAGTATTAGTGATGTACAGCATTGTAGGACTGAAATACAGGCACAAAATTTTAAGAAATGCAAGGCAATTTGATGGCCCAACATGAAGCCAAATTAGACACAGGTACTGTATTTGCATCTTCATCTCTGTGATCCTATGTGTGGTTTTCATTTCCTCATGGTATCACCAGCAGGCTCGAAATATGGGATTTCCACACAGTCCCTTCAGGCACCTACAGACCCTTCCTACACAGGCCCTGCTCAAACAGCCAAAGAATAACATAAAACTTGTTCCCAAGATGGACCATCTCAGACTTTAAGCAGTCACATGACTAATACTCAGTTTTGATGAATCACCAGTTAAAAGCTGCCTTACAATCATGAGGCCAATGTAGCAGCAGGTAATGTAATGCCAATACTATCACAGATGTTTGACTGCCTCCATTCCTGGCTCATCCACCAAAATAGGGGGCTCCTCCCACAGATGCCAGGTGAGGTGAGGCTGGGACTTCCTAACAGGAGGCAGGCAGGATTTTCTAGAAAGAACTATTTTCAATAAACAGTCAGAGTTGGAAGACCAAAAGAAAGGAGATGAACTGCAGGACACTTTCATTTTAAAGTGTAAATTCCTAACACTTCCAAGCCTACATGTGACTTATTTTAGATATGCTCACCCACAATCCACCTGAGAATATTGACCACAATTTGGTAGCAGCTGCCACTCACAGAACAAGGTGAGAGAGCAATACGCCTACTTATGGAAATGAGTGTAAAAATGGCTTTTCCACCTGTATTCACATACAGCCAAAGTGTGGCTGAAGTCTGTTGAATTACAGAGGGTTGCTCTTACTGTACTACTCTGGTAAGAGGCTCTGAAAAGGGAGAAGTGGAAATCACTGGAACAACAGTCACATAAATGTAGTGTACAGTCCTGCAGACTTGCAGGGGAAAATTCACTTGCTTGTACTTCCAGCAGCTTTATGCTGCATGGTGTTGAATCTGGATCAGGACAAATTGTAGAAGCCTTGCCAAGGCTTTTCATGCTTGCAGTTTCTCAACAGCTTTGTCAATGGTGGTACCCAAAGTGATGAGCTTGGTTATGCCCATATGGGCTGGGACAGCAGCTTATGCCTTGATTTTGTTTGAAAGCAGAAGACCAAGAAGTAGCATCCCTTGGTCCTTTTACTCCTAAAAGCTAGAAGCAACAGAGGAATGACATGGCTTTTAAACATATAATGCACAACAAACTGCCTGTGCTTGGGAACAGAAACAGGAGAAAAATACATTAAGGTGAGCCTTTAGAGCATAAGAAAGCAAGGGCATCTTGGGAAAAAAGTAATGCTGATTAGAAAACAAATATATCTCACAGTTCAAGGAGCCTAATTCTGATATGATATAAATAGAAGGAATTTTTGACCTATAGTAGTGCATGTTTTGTTACTTTTGTCAGTGGTGGAAGAGAGAGAATTGGGACTTGTACTCTGAAGGAAGTACTGAGCATCTAACCGAATCTCAAGGAGACCATGTCCTAACTATAGTTCTGGAAAATGACATTTCAGTAGAAATCATGAGTTATCCTGACATGTTTTTCTTTCTGGTAAACAGCTGCTTCCTGAAACTCCTGGAAATCCCAAGGAAGATGGGCCAAAATCATGATTTTAATGAAAGCATTACAAGAATGGGCTTCCCATGGCCTCACAAGCTCCATTGCCCTTGATTCCCATGCAGCAGTGTGAGATGGAAAAGCTGTGCCATGTTGTGCCAGCTACACACAGCCATTTTTGTTAGGAAGTTTTTCCACTGATGTTATCTGGAACAGACTATAGCATGTCAGATCAGTCTTAACTCCTTGTATCATGATCCTGGATAAAAAATATTAGCTCTTTACAGGTGAAAACCTGGAATGCTTGTGCTTTCACATGTCAGCTGAAAGCTGTATGCAAGATACCTACCTTTGTCTAGTGGAGTACTGTAACATACAGGATAGATGTCCAAAGGGCAACAGTCTCCCGCTCTGGCCAGAATCTGTTCCTGCTCCTAATCCTATCTGCTTCCTGCTCTCACCTTGCCTCAAGAAAGTTCTCAGCTATCTGCTGGGTCTTATGCACAAACCAAACCAAAACCACCCTGCAAAGAGCTGTAAAGATTTCTGACCTGCACTATGGCCTCAAGCCCCAAGAACTGCAACAGTTTCCAATGCCAGGGGCCAACACAGCAAATGTTTCCTGCAGCATTCCCAGAACCTCAATTGAAATCTCAATTTCCCAGGCCCTCCACTCCAACTTGCTCTTTGACACTGACATCTTGTGACCAACTGTACATATGACAACTCACTTACTCTGATGGAGACGGGACCCTCATTTCCAGGAGAAGCTCATTCCGTGTTATATCCCCTTCTTTTTTCCTGTTGGATCAGTGGGTCTCTTCACAGGCCAAAGGATCAGAATAAAGGTAAACTAAGACCTGAGACAAATCCACTCAGGCATTGAAGTGTAAACAGACAATGCCGGGAAATCTGTATTTCCATCTGTTTCCACTAACCCCCCAAAACAACCCCAGAATGAAACCAGTGTTTCCAGTGATTGGTGCACAGCACCATTAGCACAAGTGCTCCTCTACACATCCCTCACCAGCACCTTTGCTGAGAAAAACACAGTTCCTTTTCTTCTCTACTGCTTGCTTAAGATATATCCTTCAATACTTGCCCCTCAGAGCCAGCAACTAGAGCCAGCAATGCACTTAACTTCACCATGTTTAATTGTCCTCTGCAGGAGGCAGGGCATTCTGTCACCTCTACAAAAAGTGAAAAACTATTTTTGAAAAAGTAAGGTACTCCAGCAGTCACTATCAAGGTTCTGTTACATCCACCCTGCTACATGAAAGCTATCACCACCCTGTAGGGTTGACACTGGTAAGACTGGGTTTGCCCACAGAAAACTCTAGAACGTGACTGCTGAAAGTTCTGAAGCTTATTCCACGTTCATTTACCAATAAACTCCATGAAAGTGTTCTATAGGTATATATTTAATCTGAAGAAAATAAAAAAATAGATATAAACTACGGTTTAGATATGAACTACACTTACAGAGCTGTATTAGATAGGTGATCATCCAAATTTGGGATGTAACTGCACAGACATCTGAAGTAATCTCATTATCTATTGGTTCTTACAATGTAGAACTTTAGGGAAAATACAGTAAGGGTCAGCATTCAGACTACTTACCTCAGTGAGTACATACTTTCCTACATGTTCTCTGCTATTCTTGGCACCAACTTACACATCACTGAACTGCCACACCTCTACCAGTAAATTAGGCATGTCTGGGATATTCCTAGGCACTGAGGCCAACCAATGTGGAGGTACTTGTGCCTATACTAATTAATTCTCTCTCCAAGCAGGCTGGCTGCACACAAACAGCTTCCATGAAGAATGTTCAGAAGTCCTTGGAAATGCTCTGCTTGGCCCAGGCCAGCATTGTGCCAGCCAGCATCTGAGTTTACTAAGTAATCACATTCCTCTGCCTAGGCCCTGGTTAACTAACTACCACAAATGCTGCCCAAATCCTTCCAGCAGGGAGTGTCCAAATATACTTCATATGCCAGAAGGACGGGATGCTATCCAGAGGCATCCCCTTACTTTGCTGTGGTGGTTTCACCTGAAACACTGTGTCCAGCTCTGGAATCCCCCTCCTTTCTCTGAGCACAAGAAAGACACGTACCTGTCACAGCACCTCCAGAGGAGGGGAACAGGAATGATGACAGGACTAAAACATCTCTCCTTCGAAGAAAGGCTGAGAGTGTGGAAATTTCTCAGCCTGGAGAAGTCTCCAGGGTCACTCATTGCAGCCTTTTAACACATGAAGGGCTCTTTTAAGAGCCATTTTACGTCTCCATGTTTTAAGAAAGATGGAGAGAGAATTTTTACCAAGGCTGGTAGTGACAGAACAAGGTGTAACAGAGAACCAAGAACTAAGAAGCAGGTCCCTGAAACAAAAAAAACCAAAACAAAACAAAAAAGCAAAAGAAAAGGAAAAAGAAAAGTCATCCAGATAGACACTCAAAATCATTGCAGCAAAACAAGAGAGCAATACAGGAATCAATAGTATTTATATTACTGTGACTTACAATATTTCATTAACTTACAAGAATTTTGTAGTATTGAAGCGGAACATTTTCACATAAAACTTTCTATCATCCTTCTACAAAGATGACTGAAAATTACTAAAAGGTATTTTAAAATTAGCATCATAATACATGAATCATCCACTGAGCAAAAAATGACGAGTTCTACAAGACTCTCTTGCTCTAAATTGTTTTTAGATTTAGTTGAAACGCAAATTGGGATGGATATTTTAAGCATTGTTTTGAGGTTTACTGAAGTGATTTACATGAAGATTATGTGCAAGGCAACACAGCATCAGGTGAAAGTTTAGCTATTATGCAAACAAGATAACCAAAGTTGACAAGAAAACTACCAGAAAAATCATTCAAAACACTTGTGTGATACTGTGCCATTTTAAGTCTTAAATTTTTACTTCACATTTACTCTTTGAGTCCTTGCTGTGAGTTTGTGGTTGTCCTAGCTGCCTGCCTGTGTCAACTCACAGCCTGTGAAACGCCAAGTAGGTCCACACTTACTTTTGAGATTGTAATACTTTTTAATAGCAGAAGTTAGACCTATATAGCTTAGTCTGACATGCCTTACCATTTTCATGATTTTTGTGGAAGAACACTGTTTTCTTCAATATTTGCTGCTGAATATGCCTCTTCTAAGAGCAGCAGCTGTGCCCCACAGAATGTGCAGAATGAGGTACAGGATTACTCATGTCCAGGCTACCTTCTGAAGGAGAAAAGCACAGTGTGATGCAAGGAGAGATTTCTATGGTCCACCGCTTAATGATGTTAGAGAACATAGGTACAACCTGTGAAGACTTTAAGGTAGCCACTGGCAACTTAAACAGGAAAGACACTTAATTGAATGTTCCTGAGGAGAAGCATATTTAAGAACCACAATCATCTGCTTGTTTCTGGGGATGCAAGTCTGCCCACAGTGATGCTAACACCTTATCAGTATATGAAAGCACAGTATGCACAAAATGCCACTTTCAAATAACCAGTGCACTAATACCTGCATTTTTCTGCAGTACAGCCCATGTTATCAGGTAGAAATGCCTTTTACCCAGAAACTACAGCACAGATGCTCTGTGAGGCCTCATGGTTTCCAAGCCCTCCAGTGTGTCTCAGGATGAGGGTTTTGTATGGCAAATTTCTCACAATCAGACAAGCTGCAAGAGACCTGTGCCATTCACTTTTCTATGCATCTAACCCATAGATGACCCTATACTAGTGTGTTCCACCTGCCTTCTGCCTAGAGACCCTCCTGGCAAAGGGGAGAGTATTCCTGTTATTAACTTGCATAAAGAACGAGCACGCAGCAAAAGGCAGTAGTGCTCTTACCAGCAGTACTTAGCCCAGAGGATTTTCAGTTTCATATGGTCAGTCCTACAGGTAACCAGCTCTTCAGAGAGCAGGAAGGAATTCTTTGGAAGAGCTACACAGCTGGCACACTCTTCCAAGTGCCCCGTATATTTCACAATTGTATAGAGCTGGCACCCCAGCTGGTCTGTGATGAATCACACATTTGCTTGGTGTGCCATTTGCAGATCTATATTCGCTGAGCCATCCTGTGCAACCTTAATCTAGGGAGACAGGCACAGCCCTGCTGGTTTGAAGACAGATCAGACTATGGTCTTTTGCCAAGGCCCTGTTTGTCTAGTGGGACGTGCCTAAGATCCATCCGGGCTACCAGTGTTGTAACTACCCACACAATGAACTGACAATTCAGCAAATTTCTCAGTCAGGCCATCCTTGGCTGACCAGGGATCACAGGGGTTCTGCCTTCCAGCCTTTCCTCCTGCAGCTCAAATAAGCAATAACAAACCCACCTTCCCTATATTTATACTGTTAGCACTTCCTTTTCACTGTCTGGCAGGATGTTGGTACTCAGCACCTTCGACTGCTGAGCAAATTTATTGATCTCCTTTTTCAGTTGGTTAACCTGGATAGACAGAAACCATAACAACCATAAAACTCATTATGGGTTTCATTAGGAAAGAAAAAACATTTAATTCAGTATTTCACACTCCAGCAGACAAAAGCAATACTGACACTACTTCCCCATTTTACATGCTCACTTTTTCTGCAAGCTACTTTAACCAGTTTTGCAGTGCCCATTAGTACTGCGCATTCCTCTACCTTGACAGATCACTGTCAGTCGGAAAATCTCCAACATAAATTTAAAAAAAAAATGGATTACAATAGCCACTATTTCTTTTATAAACTCAGAGGACAAAGACAGCAAATATTTCACACACAAAGATTATAGCCAAATGAAGGGTTGTGCTAAACAGTGAACAAGACTTTAAATAAAAGCTTTCCATACTCTTAATTTTTCCCACTGAGAACATGGAGCATCCAATTTGATCATGTGCTATCATCAAATTACTGAGTATCAATGTTAATCAAACTAACATTTATATCAATACCAAAACCAGGCAGGATCGGGATCACAATCTTGACAGGATCCAGACAGCTTTAACTTGGTTCAGATCAGATTCCACTCCATTCTAATGATATGCCAAGTCAGTAAATAAACTGCCCCTGTATCTTCAAGATAATTTGTGTGGTAGCTGAGTTGAGAAAAGGCACTGACTTCCAGACTATAATTTTAAGAATGTAGAACACAGCAAGCCTTTTAATGTGGATTTTTTTTTTCAACCTATAGACCACTTACAAATGCCAAATGCCTACTGATGCAACAGCAGCCTTTCAGAGCAACACAACGTCTTAATCCTCTAAAATTGGGGAGTTTATATTTTAAGCTTGCACTTCAAAACCTTGAAGGCATTTGTTTATCACCAGCTACTGCTGCTCTTTTACAGTGTAACCGCTGCACACCGAACTTAGCAGTGCTTCATGCTTACAACCTACCAGTTCAAGAGTCAGAAGTTTTGTAGAAACTAAAATAAGGGTTCTTTATGCGAGCCTATGAGCAGCTGTAATTTGCCCAAGCATGGAAACCGACTGGCAATTCTAGTGCCAAAAGCCCAGGTTTTAGCGCCGTCTTCTCGCACCTTAGATGTTCACCAGCATCGGGATAAAGCATCGGGACAACACGGACAGAAATTATGCTGTGACACCATCCCGTGCAATCACGGCGCTACCGGTGGGCTCTCCTTCCTGGCCCCTGTGGGAACCCTCAGGGGCGACGCCTCCATCCCACCCTTCCCATCCGCAGCAATTTCCCCAAATCCCCCTCTCACAGTGCAAGAATTTAAAAAGCGACAGTGCCGCCCTCAGGCCGCCCTCAGCTCTCCCCGCCCCTCGCACGCGGCGCGCCCTCACAGGCTGTCGCGAGCCGCTGGCCCCGCCCCCCAGCGCCAGCCCG